TACATGAAATGATAAAAGTAACTTTTTTGCATTACTGGAATTAATTAAACATTCGTAAAGATCCAGATAAACCCATGATCATGTGGCCTCGTTAGTTAGAGTTGGTACTATAAAATCATTTCAGACTGGCCTTAGTATGCTGGTGACACAAAAAAGATGCCAAACGCCAGGACGAATGTAATTATTAAAACATTGAGTTTATACTGTAGTATTTTTGTTAATTTTAGGTTCATATATTTAGATTAAGTTATTTTTAGTGTATGTATTATTCTTTCCTTATTCAAAGCTTGTTCAAAAATGATTTTGATGGTTGTACATAGAATTTTACGATTTTTTATAATAAATACTGTAACTTGCAAATGTTGCAATAATAGTGGAATGCAAATATTAATATGTAATTGCATTTGAAATTGAAGAAAATAATAAAACTTAATCCAACTGTTTAGTTGCATCACAATATATGAGCTATGTTCTATGAACATTTGTTCTTTTCTTTGTCTTGAACTTTCCATACTCCACAGCCCCTATTAATTTTTTTTAATTTTAATTACCATGTGATGGTCATACATATCTTTAACTTGTATTTTCTGTCATGATGTATTATCTCAATGTGCCAAACTATTAATTTGTGTGCATATTTTGCTTCCAGATGACATAAATGTATTGTCATGTTTATTACCTCAGCTTGGAGTATTGACAAGAAAAAGGTGCCAGTAAATTAGGTAAAAAAATTTTCAACTCATTGTTATAATCAGAATTCACAATCAATAGGAATTATAAACAGCCAACAATCAGTGAGAATTATATGCGAAATCCCTCAGAATAAATTTGTCTAAAATCGGAGGAAGGCAAAAAATATAGGTAGTTTCCATTCACACAAGCATTTCAAGAAGACTTGCTCGAGCCAAACTAAATGAGCATCGTCAGGTGATCGGTAAGGCTGCAAGTTGAATTCAGCCCTGCAACCTCCTGCATAGAAGATAATATTAATTAGTGGGCTATGAGCTAAATTCCTAAATTTAAACAAACCTATCTACGATGCATTATGTACCAGCAATGTTACCTACGATTAACTGATTATGTAATATGTCTAATAAATTCACCTACAAAAGCAAGTTCGATAGGTGCAAACTTTGTGTTATGGAATTGTATCGCAGCACAGTTTTGTATGACACCCTCTTTAAATGAAATTTCAATGATTAAGCGCAAACATTAAAATTACTAACTTTGAACTTTGTCATTATCTGCAAAATGTTCCACACAAATCTTTCCGCTATCGCGTTTGTAATCTTCTCTGATAAAAAAAAAACGTCTATGATGTCCAGAATTGCTCTTTACAGCTTGCCTGTTATTCCAGCTTTCCAAGTAAGCAAAACTTCTTAGATATAGAGATTATTTTGTTTCGTTACAGGCGCAAAAAGGCAGGTACTACACGTAAAAAAGACGCCGAGTAGCAAAAGCGAGCGGAAAACGGACGCGAAAGGCGACGAGAAATATGTGCATTGGAGCGTATCATGAAATACAATGTTTTGCCTGTAGTCTTATGGAGTGACGTCAGAGTTGCCTATCATGTTGTTTAATGTCATTGGTTTAAGTTGGTGAAAAATTATAAGAAAGCACGTTTTATATTTTGCGTATAAATTTCGAGACCTAGTGGGGAAATTAACAATCTGCAGCTAAGTCAATAGCATATTAGTAAATTTTGAAGGAGTCATTTTCGAGGATCAGATTTGTATGTATGTAGGTAAACAAGAGGACGATGCTTAAATATATGGACACGAAGCAATATGCAATCTATCAAGGTAGATTACAGTGCCGGAACAGCAGTCTTACGGGTGACACGAACTTAAATAACAACATCATCTCTAATAATGACAGATTTAGGTGGATATTCATGTTGTGCTACATAGTTACAATACCTGCACAAGAATGTTTGTGGAAACAATTTTCATTTGTTTCAATCTGAATCTATGACTACGTTATCTTATCTACAAGGAAAATTAAAGACTAATAACATGTAAGAGGGTTTTGATTATCAATTTTTATCATCAATTCATATTGATAAGAGATGATTCAGGAATTCATTGCTCAATTTACATCCGCTAGGTGGCGTAAAATGAAATTGTTATTTTCTATCATTCTATCCCTCTCAATTTTCCCATTTTACTTGGGAAATCGCTTGGAGGGACATAAAATGTCCTTCGCAAGATATCTACAAGTCCGTTCTGGTAAGTCTATGTAGGTTTTCCACTCCGTTCCGGCAAATTAGGGTCCGTTCCGGTAATTAAAGAAAATTAATTTTACCACTGTCCCCCCCAAGTTTGCCGATTTATTATAAAAATTGCAAGGAAGTATATGAAATGACATTTGCAAGACATTTAAAGGTCCGTTCTGGTAGGTTTATGTTGGTTTTCCACTCCGTTCCGGCAAATTAGGGTCCGTTCCGGTAATTGAAGAAAATTAAATTTACCACTGTACCCCCCAAGTTTGCCGATTTAATATAAAAATTGCATGGAAGTATATGAAATGACATTTGCAAGACATCTAAGGGTCCGTTCCGGTAGGTTTATGTATGTTTTCCACCCCGTTCCGGTCCGTTCCGGTAATTTAGGGTCCGTTCCGGTAATTAAAGGAACCCCTTCCCTCCGATTAACGTGTACATGTATTTGAGCATTGCTCTCTTGTTTTTATTAACTCTAGTGACTTCATATTTAGATATATTTTTTGGATGTTTTGTTTTCCAAACTAGATGATTTTAGATGGTATTTGAGGTCATAGTAGATGTTTTTATTCAATTCAGAGGCAAGTGGAAGCCCTGCTGTATCCACAGAACATGGGCAAATATGTCACTTCAGCGCATATGCATGTTAAATTGAAAATATAGATGTTTCGAAAAGATAGAAATGACACCATTACAGTCTTAAAATGCGACAATACTCATTAACCCTCACGGTTTTTGTCTAATCGCTGAATCGAGTTGTCAGCTCAGGCGAGTTGTCCGCCAGCGCAGTAGCCTACTGATGAACAGCTTGGCCTCCCAAATACAGAATACATGCTTGTATAATAAGTGTTAGGTTTGTGTCGGTAAAACCGACGATAACATAGTTGAAAAAAAAACTGATTATAGAATCGGGCGAGCAAACGAGACCTTGAATAAGTAGCCTAATGTTTATAGCGTAATTTTCAGAATTTGGGTTGGAAGGTTTTGCCAAAAGAAGTGATAGACTACGTGTTCACTAACCTGAAAGTCTTAAACTTTTTCACTCACAACCACATAGATATGAAAAAGTAAGAAATACACGAGAATCAGGGTGGTTCACGTAACCGCTATCCTCCGCTATCAAGTCCATGCTTCCGAAAACAAACAAGAGAGCTCTGCTCAAACATAGAAACCTTGGACACCAAAATATATGTTGGCCAGTGTTATGAATCCCAAATAAAAAAATTGACACACAGCGCCGAAGAGGCGGAAATCGAGTTCTAGGGATTCGAATCATCCAGATTCGGCATTCTATATCGTCCATCCCTACCTGGGACTATCTGAATGCCTACTTTTGTATAATTCTGGTATAAACCTTTAATTACTATCTAATAAACGCAATCGCAGAAGAGCAGAATTACTCTGCCCATACTCCATCTTGATAACTTATGGTGCCGACGCAGAGATGACTGGCAGATGCCACGACCTTCTACTTTATCCTAATGCCTCAGTATATCTTTTCATTTATATCAACCAACAAAACCATTTCAAATACGCAAATGAATTAAAACGGAAATCGTCTTCCATGAGCTACAAAATATAGGAAACTCGTGACGTAGTAACGCATCATTCATGCGCAGCGAACCAGCCGTGGGCGAACTATATTCATTAGACCAGGGCTACTCAACTATTTTTAGGATAGGATAGGATAGGATTTACATATTTATCCCGGGGGAGAGGAAAGCCGATAAGACGGCTTATTCATATGGCGAACCACGGCCTCTCGTCCGGTTACCATTCCAAGTCGGGTATGGGATTAGATTTACTGTATTGTTTGTTTTCGGAAGCATGGACTTGGTGGTGGAGGAAGCCGTAACCGACCAGCGGTTACGTGAACCACCCAACGACGGCGAGGAGTCCAGCAATCCTCTCGCACATAACCATCCCTGCATGGGATTCGAACCTGCGAACCCACGCAGAGTAGTTAGAGGTGCGGTGGCGAGCGTATTCCTAACGCTTAGCCCGTTGAGCCACACCGCCGCGCCGAAGATCCGCATACAAAACTTCAAAAATATTTGCGTCCGGTCTTTCCAGAAATTATATTTCGCCATCCTTAAACACACACTTCCTCGGCCGACTAATGATTATTAACTATTCAAGATTGTTTATTATGGCGTTTTAGTTCTTTTCATATTTATTTAAATCTATAAAAGTGATTTTATAAAAGAAAAATTCAAAAGTGGAGCTAATGATCCAAAATAAAGAATTAGGCGCGGTCCGAATCGAATACCCGAAAGATCCGGATTCGGACCGCGCTCTGCCAGTTGAGTAGCCCTGCATTAGACTATGGAATATAGTTCGCCCACGGCTGGTCATACTGTCCCAAAGTGACTATAAGTGTAATAGTCACCTCGTACTGTCCAGAGTCACTTTGATACTGTCATAGCAGATCGCCGCGGGTCTCATGTAGTTTCGTACCTAACATACTTCTAGTGGGCGTAGCATGACAATTTTTTAACTTATCAATCCTAACCCCCACCTGACTACACCATCCAAAAATTACGTCATTACGACGTCACAGTGACGTAATAGAGCCCTTCAAACTTTACGAACTGCCATCCAAGACGTGCAAACGAGCACCCGAAATCGAACAGTTATTTCTCTCGTTTTCTCGTCGCATTCGCAACGATTCCAATAGTAGAGAGATCGATAACGTCAGTCAGTTCCTTATCGTCGGCTCCAATGCCATTTCGGTCGATCGTGCGTATATTTGGCAAGCTTTATAACGTGATTGTGATATCGTAGTGTTTTAATTTTGGATGGCGTAGTCAGATGGGGGTCAGGATTGACATATCAAAAAATTGTTATGCTACACCCACTAGAAGTACGTTAGGTACGAAACTACACGAGACCCGCACACTAGACTCCCATGCCCGACATGGAATGATAACCGGACGAGAGGCCGTGGTTCGCTATATGGTTGAGCCATCCTATCGTTTTTCCCCTCCCCCGGGATAAATATGTAAATCCTATTCTAGAAATTATGTCTGCATGTGGTACTAAGCTACACCAGACCCCAAAAAACAACAGCCTGGACACTCTGACACTGACGAACTAAATATTCTTTTGTATTAGCTTACTTCATTCAGTTATACTACAGGCCACAGGGCAGCAGGGTGCCATGTCTTCCTCTGTTAAAGCTGTGAGAGCATATATATCAATTGATTTAGACAACTATGTTGAGGGTTCAATGCAAATTTTACAACTCATAAGACCAGAATGGAAGAGAGAAAATATAAAAATCAAAGTATTTAATGATGGCATCAGCAACAAAATGCTTGGATTCATACATGACACAAATGTCATTCTTATACGAATAAATGGAAACATGACTGATATGTTTACTGACAGGCAGTCTGAAATAGAGAATTTTGAAATATTGCATGGTGCTGGTTGTGGACCAATGCTGCATTGTATATTTGACAATGGTCTTTGCTATGATTTCATAGAGGGTGATACCTTATCGAGAGAGGATTTAAGAAAGCCTGAAATATATAATTTAATTACAAGAGAAATGGTCAGGTTTCATAAGATACAATTAAAGGATAGTAGCAGCAACCAATCTCCTGCTGTTTTCAAGCTTTGTGACAAATTTTTGCACCTAGCATTTTCAGATGGAGCTCCACCTGGCAAAGAATTGGTTGGATATAATGGGCCCAAAGAAACTGAATTGCGTAAAGAATTTTCAACTTTAAGAGAGCATTTGTTTGAGCTCAAATCTCCAATTGTGTATTGTCATAATGATCTTCTTGTTAATAATATAGTATTCAACAATCTGAAAAATAGTCTACATTTTATTGATTTTGAATATACTGGGAAGAATTTTCAAGCGTTTGATATAGCAAATCATTTTTGTGAGTTTGCTGGTGTTGATAATATGGATTATTCCTTCTATCCTGATCGACATTTACAACTTGACTGGATTAGAACTTACCTGAAACATTGGAATAATTCAGATATTGAGGTAACTGATGAAGATGTAGAAAAATTGTATGTTCAGGTTAATAAATTTGCTCTCGCAGCGCTTTTTATATGGGCTACGTGGGGATTGGTGCAAGCCAGGTATTCTAATATAGATTTTGATTACATTAATTATACTGAAACAAGATTCAGGGAATACTTCAAGAAGAAAAAAACATTATTGCTTTAAAATGATATGACCTATCTCATTTAATCATTACAATTTTGGAGCTTTTTGTACCAATAAAATGCAATCCATGTGTTTACATTAGCTATGCTCCAATGTCTTGCCTTGTGTGATTCTTTACCATGTAATTGAATCGCAATGGAATGTTATGCTGAACCCATTGCATTTGTGGGATATAAAGGTTTAATTATGCCTCTGGTCTAGCTGATCAAGCTTATACATTCTTAATGGTTAATGCTTTGTATTCTGTTTTTAGTATGGTATACACACTATACAGTATACACTATACAAATTATACACTACACTAAATGATCTATGCCACAGCCCACAGTGTTTAGTCTTATGGTATTTTTTACCATAGAATTCATTCACAAAGATATATTATCCTAAACCAAGCATTTGTGAAATTTACTTAAACTGAGTTCTGGATTTTGAATCTTGAAATCTAATATCATTTTCATGGCGTAGTTCGATTTTTTATGTTATTCTTATTCATTTGACTCGTACAGTCATACGCTGAAGTTCTTTCCATCATTTTTTATGCAGAACTCTGCATAAAACATGCAGTTTTTAGTACATTCGCGTTGATTGGGACCTATGGATCGTTTCAAAATAAGGTTGTTGTTCTTTGACCTGTTATGAAAAAGTCGCTTTTCTCTTTGATTACTGGACCAATTGCTTTGGAATTTTCAGTGGTTATAGATTTATTTTTTTGCCAGAAGTCTTTTTATTTTATTTTTTATCATTGGACACGAAGTGGACCTATGTATCGTTTCCTTTCTTTTTGGACACCTAGTGGAAAACCTAAAAAGTCGTTTTTATGCTAGCACTCTTCTTCTTGTTCTTTTGATCACATGGTCATCGAACGTCTGTGGTCTGTAACAAAATTCCTGTTTTTTTCAACGGGGAATGGCATATACAGGCACAGCTCATAGGTACCGGTAGCGTCAAAGGTAAGGACTGATTAACGTGTCCATATATTGGGGCATTGCTCTCTTGTTTTTTATATTGTCTCCAGTCAGCATATATTCGAAAAAAGTTATTCATTGATGTTTATTGGCTGTTATAATTTACTATGCGTAAAACATATCATGGGATGGAATGCTAACCAAATTTGATTTGATTCTGATGATGAAATTTGAAAAAATGATCTGGTAAACCTCAACCTGCTGCCTGGTTTAAAATTGTTTATATCAGTACAACATAAATTGAGTACATCAACATGGTCAGTGGAGTAAAGTAAACTGTAAGGCACCGGTGATTATGTGGAATGCTCATTGCTTACTGCATAATATTGATCTCCTCCATGGAACTCTTACTTTATATGGTCAGTGGCGTAGCTGCTTGTATTCCTTAATGCCTCATGCCCATTTTGTGCAATCCTGATTGGGTATTAGCTTTGCTGCCATTCATTACATTTTTATTAATTTGCTTATGGTTTATATTGACCTTTGACTTTTAAGATTTTGCAATTTCTATCCCACTGTCCAATTTAACTCTGCCTCATTTTTTCCAAATCTCTGTAATTTCATATAATTTCAGAATCTGTATTTTTGAAAGTGCTTTTCTGTCAATTTGTTTTGTGAATTTATATTAAAAATTCCATTTGTTGCTATCATATTTTCCTGAGAAAATGTTGTTATGCCATGATGGTACTATGATTATATATTTTACTATTAACCTCATTTTGCTTTTGAATATAAGTTCTCCAGGATCGCAGGAAATAACACAAAGTATAGTGAGTCTTGGGCTGATTTTGTGCCCAAAAGGTCATATCGTGTTTCCAATGAAAGTAGCCAAAGTGGAGGCCCTGAGGCGTGCTGTGTTAAAAAAAACTTTACCTCAGTCGGTCTGAAATTTTATATGATATTGAATCCCCCTAAAATAAGGCAATTTCCAGTGGTTCTCGGCCCTTTTTAGTTTGCGGACCGGTAAAATTTTTAAAACTAATTTTCCGGACAGGCGAACCTTCAAAATCAACCCGAAATATCTAAAATACAATCAAGCGATTGAAATTACGACATTAGTATGCAATTCAAAAGCAGACAATCCAATGAGAAATTTGCTGCTTCCTTTTTTATATCATACGTGTTAATTAAACGGATGGATAAGTTGTACAAAAAATCGGCAGCAATTTAATGGCTTTATTACTTTTTTAAGAGGCATCCAAAACTGTGACATTGGCAGGTCTTTATGCTTAGAAATCAACGCGGTATCGCAAAAAAAGTTCAATCATCGATCAAAATTTGACAAGGCAAGTACTGTCTACTCTACTGTGTGCTCTCTAACTCCTCCGTTCTAATGTTCGCCGTTGTGATATCATAGAATTATCAAAACATCCAGGCTTGAAAAGGGCGTGGGACCTCTGACCAATATTGGTGTATGCATTTTGCAATTGATATATAAAATTGGAATATATTTGACGGACGGCAGGAAGATTGACGCGAACCTACGGTTAAGAACAAATGGGTGCGATCTCGCATGACATGATTTAGATCAGGGGTTCCCAAACTAGGGTACATGTACCCAGTGTTCCATCCATACATAAGTCCTATTTTTCAGCAAGTTCTGTTACAAAAAGTTGTGTTTTTATTCAGTAATGCTAACCGGTTCGCTGATCTAATAAAATTCCACGAGACGGTTTTATAGAACCGGCTGAATCCCACTGCTGCATGTACCCCATGGGGTATTTTGAACTTTTCAAGAGGTACTTTAGATTAAGTATAAAGATATTCTTTTTATAACTTACTATATGCCCTAAAATATTTTTATCATCTGATGTTAATAATTATTTGGAAGACCTGCGTTCAGAAACAACTCTTTAGAAAGTCACATTTTAACCCAAATGAAGCTTTGACTGTGATTTGAAGTCCACAATTGCAGTTCAAAAAATCTATTGTGCGATCACAGCACGCAAGACAAAACAGCTGACTGATTGCTACAAAGTCATTGCTGATATTTTGTACAAAGCCCCCGCCACTAATACAAAAATGTGAGATTTGAGAAAAACAACCTCGCCACGTTTTAAAATTAGTAATTATCCAGTAAGCTTTTAGCGCAATCTGCATCCCTAACCCTAACTGAATAATTAATAATGTTTTTGCGCGGTGGCGGGGGATTTGTACAAAAGATCCGAGAACTGTAGTTACAGAGACTATAGGGAGCAAATGCTGTCATCCCCGCTCATTAATTAACGTTCACGTCTCTCCGCCATTTCGAAAATAACATCCACAGAGCACCGGTTGTCCTGCCAATCGATTGCGGTTGTCCAGAGGAAATGTTAGTAAACGTGTAAAAATCTAAAGCTTGGTAAAAAAAAATTCTAGTTTTTTTCAACAATTCCACAAGTGTGAAGAGCTTGTCATTTTCTGGAGGAAATTTTTATTTTCTTTCATTTCTATCCTGCCTTGTTGAAATTTTTGATGATCCAAATACGCTAAACAAGATTCTTCAAAAACAAAAATACCTAACAGTTTGTGTGCCCATATCTAGAGTTAAAGCATTTCTGACGAAATTTTAGTTGTGGAGGGGAATATTTGCTCCAGAAGCAATTTCACGTTTGTTCAAAACCCCCAATTTGAGAGAGACCGCAAGGTTCTTTCGGAATTGGTCACTAAACATCTTAAGAAGTTGGAAAAAGAAATAGACGGCTATTTGCTGAGTCTTGTCGAGGTTGCATATCTTAGGAATCCTTTCGCCCCGAACGCTCGGGCACGGTAGACTGAAACATAGGCTTTACGCGAGAGGAACTGATGTAACTTCAACATGATGGCTTTGAATGCGATGTGAGAGAAATCTAAGAAGTTTGTGGTTTACTATGTGCAAGGATTCCGAAACCGCCATTCACGCATTGTTGTTGTTTCCATCAACATGGTTGTGTGACTGGAAAGGGATGGCCAATATCGAATAGTTCACTATTTCGAATACATTCGAAATTATTTTTTTCGAATATGAAATTTCGAATACTTCGAAAATAAAATCCACTAATTGAAGCTTATCTAAATGTATGTAAGAATTTTCATATAATAAGCAATGGAATAACTGCTATCTACAAGTTACAACCTAGCTATATTACCAGGCATTTCATATTTGCAGATTATTGCAGTATATATTTTATATACCAGAGTCATGTTAACAGAATTAAATTAATACGGCAATAGTGGTGTCGATGATGGATTTGAATATTTGCGTAACACAAAATCATCCTAGTAAAAAGTCCATACTCTTGAATACAAACCAATGGCAAACATTATCCAAATTAGTTCCCAAGAGTGAGATAAAGTATAAATTCTTTTTCCGTCTTGTGACAATTTTTCTTAAAATAAGAATCAAAAACTAATTATATTTTAAAAATGCCTGACCGTGTTAATTTAATTCAATTATCATAACTCAAATGTTGGTAAATCGGGCAGTTTACCACACATTTTAAGGCCACAGATCGCCGTTACATTTTAGAATTATAATAGTTTTATTATTTTGTAAATACGAATCCGAAATTAATTATAATTGGGCAGTTTACCACGTATTTCATGTCCACAAATACCCGTGGTATTTGGTATCAATACTTTCAATATTTTGTCAATATAAAAATGGAAATCAATATTTAATATTATCGGTCAGTTTACCACACATTTTATGTCCACATATCGTCGATACAACCATGAGTTACATTGAACAGAATTAAATTAATACGGCATGACATTTTAAATGCTGGTACCAGTCATGGATTGGATTATTTTACGCAACAAAAAATCATCCTGCTAAACAGCTAAAGGATCGATACTTTTAACTATCGTTATCAGAAATATTTGCCAGAAATTATTTTCTAATAAATGACTTGTTTTTCCAACTTGTGACAATTTATTGGATATCGTAACAATGACGGCTATAAATACCGTATTTCCGGGCTAATATGTCCACATGGCAAATAGGAGGATGTCTATTTTTAGCACTCAAAAAATTTTTTTTTCCATACAGGCCTCCAATAAGACGGGTAGAAAAATTGTGTCCCTGTTGTTCAGTTATGCTGATATGCGCTAATGATTTTATTATGTTTAGAACCAGATCATGTTAGTTTGGTAGAATCATACTTGCAGAATTAACTATTTTTAACAATTGAGCGGTAAATTTAAGTTGTAAAACGGCAATCATTTTGGACAACCTATTAACCTGAATGTTGAAATAATTTTGGAATGTGATAAGTAACACACTGTACGTCCACGGGTTATTTCACAGCTGTGTTTTCCTGTCCCCGTCGTGTTCTGCTGAATCGGCAAAACCAAAGGGTCATAAATCACTTACTTTATCTCGGTGGCGGTGGCCGTGTTTTCTCTTTTAAGTAACGATAACCGGCCTACGATTAAATATCATGATTGGCAGACCCATAAGAACCAAATATAAGGTTTAACACAAATTATGCTTGAGAAGACTAATGCGAAAAATAAGCAGGCCACATAGAAATAAAATAAACATGCTTTCTCAATAAGGCGCCCCTCCCCCCAAAAAATCAAGCCAAAATTAGGTCAAGAAAAGCGACTTATTAGCCGGGAAATACGGTGATTGTCGATTTTTCGACTAATGGAAATGATTTTGTGAATTAAAAGACGAATGTCGGCAATGTCCACCAACGCAAACGTGCAAATGTGTCGCAACACTATGCGACGTACATTCGCGCTGAATATAAACAATCAAAATGCCGACTCTATTTCATCGTCATTACAATACGTGAGAAAGCGTAAAAAGTCGTTTGAAGATTCCGGTAAAACGAAACACCGTGTTTACGGCGAAAAGTGACTACTATTCGTAATTATTCGGAAATGAGCCGAAAAGGTATTCGAATACCTTGATATTCGAATAATTTCGAATATTCGATTCGTTTTGGACAACCCTGACTGGAACTAATTCAAAACACAGAGCACAGCTCAAAACACCTGAACACAGTTTACATGGGACTGTGCTAATCACGCAGATTTCCATATTAAACTGAAATAATAAATTTTAAAGTTTTTAACAAGTTTAGAGAAAATATAATGGGTTGTGCATCATAAGCTGTGCATCAAACCAGGTTGAGCTTAGCAGCCAAAAACATAATAAAATTCCTGACGGCACGCGAGCGATCTATAAATCCATAACTTAGTAGCGTACTATCAATTTATTGTCATTTGTCCTATATGTCTGTGTGAAATGTAAAGGGAATCCGAAAGGATGAGGCAATAACACGTGATTCAGTCAGTCTTGGATGTAAACCTGTGTTGGACCAGAGATTGTGACAGCCGATTAATTTGTTGCAGCTAAGCAATGTAATTTCAGATGTAATGCGTTAAATCCTAAATTATTGTACAACATATATATCACATGTGGTTTAATATCATTCTAGACATATTTTCACTTCAAAATGATCCTAATTTCCTACACTTCGTCCATGCGTCGAAGCGACTTCTTGTTTTGATTATAATTCAGCGTGGATGAGTGAAACATCTCAGATAAATAATGTTTTTTAATGGTAAATTTTCTTATATACACATAATCAGGGTCAAACGCAGGGTAAAGTTAATGTCAAAGGATTTCACGCCGTTATGTTCAGTAGCTCAGACCCCATAATAAGTTGGCATTTAATTATCGGGATTGCTGTCCTAAACATGTATTTCTGATGATTATCACTGCATTCGATCTGAAAACAGATGTATAACAAATTTATTTCTCTGATTCCCTAAACTAAATCATGGGTTCCTATTGGGCGAGATATCAATTTGACACGAAATCGACTTCAAATAAACATTCGACGGTTTTACTGAACAAATCCATGATTTTGGAACGATCTGAACTGTTGTCTTAGTTCACATTATTTGAAAATATGTGATAGTTTCGAAAATCAAAATGCACAACTTTTTAAAATATAATATATATTTACAACCACAATCCTACGTAAGTAAATACATATCAATAATCCTGTTACATATTCCGTCTAATAAATTTCTAACACACCGACATAAATTTCTGCAAAATGTAATATACGGTCCTGAATCAACCGCCTTTATTACAACAATTGTAGTCCCCCATATTTATTCCGTCTTTCCGTTGTGTAATTTGTTTGGTCGACTGGAAACCATCGCGGTTAGTGACGTTTCTCTCTAGCGTTTTGACAGACCTGTTTGAGTGACTCGCCCGGGGCGTTAGAAATAAATTCAACGTAACTTATATACTTTGAATTGGTATTAGTAATCTTGCCGCAGTAACGGATATTATCGATATGTTTTACGAGACAGTAAACTAAGATGCAGTTGGTAATTGCGGAAAGTAATGTTGTATTGTGCTTGATCGTTTTCAGTTACCATGTATTGCGAGCCGCCGGTCAATTTGATACTTCGACGGGTGAGTTGTTCTATTCTTGAATTTGTTACCATGTTTACATTGCCAGAATTCATCAAGATGTATTGCTGCTATTTTTTCACGATCAAAAATCGCCAAATGTGTATAAAAAAGAATCATAATGTTTTAATATACAGTATCTTCTAATTTGATAAGAGCAATTATTTTATCTTCCCATTTTGAATGGAGTCAGTCGAAGACTAACTGCAGCACTAGAATTCATGAAACATTCGTAAAAAATAAACCGATGCAACTCAAACAAAATTGGAATGATATTTTACAGTCTTGTGAATTCGACAAACATTTATTATAAACTTATTTCAACCTTTACTAAAGCGTAATTCCCTTTTTTCCAGATTTAGACAGATGCTGCAGCAGGGAACCGAACACCACGCACTCCGATTCGACATGTAGACCAACCCGATTATCAGCTACGCAGTTCCAGCAATCAATTGTAACTCCTAATTATCCCAAGGCTTTTCCTGCTGATCTATTTTGCAGTTGGGAGTAAGACTTTTTATTTTTTACGTATTTTATTAATTTTTAACTGATTAAAATCTTAAAGTCAAAGCCTTCATATACATTCTTTCAGTTTCTTTTTTTTTCAAATTTTTTTCGAAACTTATGAAAATGCATTTCTTATAAGCGAGACGATATTATGCGTGAATATGATACCTTTGGGTTTTGAGGCTTGGCCCCGTAATGAAAAATCCATAATCTATCATACAAGCACATTTGTGAAATGAATTTGTATTTATTTAGGTTTTTTAAATTGCATGAAATAAAATGGTTCTTTGACGACTTTTTAACGTTTCCGAGGTTTTCATTGTTTTCATGGAAGTGATTTACCACTTTTCCCCGTTGAACACGAGATGACACAAATGACGCTTACTGATTTCCATTTCAAAATATGCATTTATAGAATACGGACAATGCCGGGCAGGCGTATTTTATTGGATTTTCGTAATATGCACCTTATTGGACATATTGGAGACGATTGTGTATCACAGCGACTTATTATACGGTCTCCACTGACAGGACTTTCAGTTGGCCCTTTCTGTGGATATGATGGACTTCCGAATATTGTGTCAGCAGGTACTACGTTTGAATGATGATACATAAGTTTATGCTAAACACAATTTGCGTCGGCCAAACCTGGTTTTTAAGCAGTGGAAGTTAATTCTACTGAGTACTATTATTATCGGTAAATATGGCCATGGATAAATTTACTCACTAATATCGCACGGTTCCATTACATTTGAACCCACGTACATTTGAACCCATGACAATTGCACCTGTATGTTATTGCACGTATGGAATTTTTTTTGTTTCACGGATAGTTAAACCCATACTAACCCTAACCCATGGGTTTTAGCACCCGCATATAGATTAAACCCGTGGATATACGCATGGGTTCAAATGTACATGGGTTCAAATGTACGGTCACCATATCGCACACAAGAAAATATACCATAAACATAAAACCACTCAAACTATCGGATGGTTGACGTATTCTCTGCGTAAATCGGATTAGATCTTACATAAAGCGAGTTTTGCCGTGCACGTCGCTCTTTCCGTTGAAATAGTTGGGCGATGACGACCATATCGACTGCCTGATATTATATATATCCAATGGCGAATTAAAGTGTAATCGTGTTCTCATTGTGTTTACTCCATCAGTTCCCTATTTTGACACGGTTAGGTACGATTAATATTGATTGATCCCCTATTTTGATTTAGGAAATCTTTTAATTGTTGAGTTGCAGTCCCCACATCCTACAAATGGGAAGGAATATAAAGGATTCCAGATGGTTTACACGGAAACGGTACAAGCAACATCTCCTGGTTGTAAGTATTGTGTTTTCTGAGCAATCTTGTGAATATCACGTAAGAGAGTAGCGGGAGAAGAAATCTATATGAATCGTCATTTTGCCATTACTCTTGTTTGGAATCATTTTTTCATAATTATACCCATCTTGTGCGAGTAATGACCGGAGAGTAATGTTGTTAATGACAACAATAAGTACATTGCAAATATTTATTTATGATAAAATATTTCAGAGATAGAAACGAATTATAATGTGAGTGTACACAGGGTGACCTCCAAAAGACGGAATCTATAAATTTTTTAATTACCTCTAGGAAAATGTAAAAATAAAATTTCGTTTTGTTTGCGCTTGAACTTCTGTTTGTGTATGATTATACACAAAATAAATCTAGGACGCTCTGTATACAAAAGTTATGTTTTCTTTAGAATATGTTCCAATTTACCTCTTTGGCATTCGAGACAGACTAGCATTCGTTGTGCAAAATTGTCAATCACTGACTTGGTTTTCTGCAGAAGCGCACTTTCTCCTGTCAGGTCATATTAATAGCAACATCCGAAGTCTTACAAAGAGCGTTCTCAGTAAAGTTCAAGTGTAGAAAAATTAAATAAATCACTTTATTTTCGTAGAAGAAATTAGGAAATTTATGGATTTCGTTTTTTGGGGTTATTATGTATATACAATCTAAATGTGATTGCATTGCGATTACTAGCCAAGAATATATATCAAGCACTACTCTAATAATTTATGATTGCACTGCCAAGTTTCCACTTCCCCATCCAATTTCCTGACATCTCCAGAACTCTTCTCACTCATTTATGAGTAGTATAATACTACGTCTGTTGTATAATAAATTCGATGTTTTTCAGTAAGACCACCAGAATGGAGTAACGGAATGTTTTTGGAATACTCGCCGTAAGTAAACATCATGTTTCTTTGAGTTTTGTTATTTTGGTGAAATCGGCAATAACAGTATAGTTGAAACCACCAAATGAGTGGTTACAATTACCGCTGATTAGCCCTTTCTTTTTCATACCTCCAGCCGTGGTGTATATTAAATTGCACCAAACCTACTTCGATGACGACGAAAGCTTATCTTCGGGTTTTCATACTTGTCTAAATCTTCGATGGTTTGAAGAGTAAATTTATTTATTTTCCAAATTTTAATTGTTATTTCCTTCATTTTTCTCAAATTTATTCAGTACCGTCAGAACAAAACCGTCCAGATACAAACCAACACAGAAGATAAATAGCAATAATGCAGAAAAATTACCAACCACGAAAAAGCCACCTTCCAAGCCAAAAGGTATAATTTAGTACTTCCAATAAAAAAGTATTTTCATATTGGAATCTATAAATATGAAATTCCATTGTATTTTGTTTATTATAAGTCTTGTCTAAAATTGAAATTCTTCATTACCAGAGCCTAAAAATAAGACGCCAAAAGAGAAAGACCGGGTGATGTCAAACTCAAACGGACCTTGGAACTACCCTCCTGCTGTACGTCCTTACATACCTCGTGAGTGTGAATAGTTGCATTTTTCAAACAAATAATACTATTTATAAAATATACTGCAACTGTTCGACTCAAATTATCGTAACAAATTTGCATCAGATTGAGATTGGGCCAAGCCAAATAGTACGACACCTAGTTATACCGCCTGTTTTAACCGTTTATCGAATCATGAGTCTACATTCTCTATGTTTGTACCGATTCAGTAGAAGACATCTGTAAAACGCGTATATTCTACTTTTAAACTAGGATGTGAAAATATAGTCGCTGACCATGAAAATAGTTTCTATTTGCTATTTTTGAACAAACACTCGTTTCTTCTAACCAGCGAGGGTGCCGACACGAATTCGTCCAGAAGACAAAGAAGATTCAATGGGAACAGAGGCGATCGTAGGAATCATCGTTGGCGGGATCGTAGCTATTGCAATTATATCTGTTGTTGTTGCTAAATTAAGCTATTATAGATCAAATAAAGAGAAAAAGCGGGCAGAACAAGAAGCAGAAGATGCTCGTAACATGCAAGGTATTTGTAAATAACTTAGGCTCATACCTAACAAAAACATTTTGAGGACTTGTTAAAAGTCTTAATCATATACATATAGGCCTATTGTGTACTAAATGGGACAGAAAAAAAGTATGTTGGACCTATGTTAGTGTTATTTTCTTATTTAGATTCGAATGAGATTCTATAAAACACCCACTCTGACGTACATATAGCCGTAATTTGGAATGACTGTTTTCTATCATTGTCCATGCACTTTAATTTTATAATCTGGATAGGATGCATTAGCACTCATTATGCTTCTACCTTTTCAGGATTTCAGTCATATACTCAAAAAGCAATCCCGATCGTTCACGAGCCATCCCCTGCATACACTGCGCCACCCACACATACCCGTCATAAACATACGGGAGTAACCAACACAAATGAAAAAGTAGCTGCTCATCGCGATGGGCACAGACGAAATAGATTGCCAGATAAAAGACAGTCAAACAAGTTAACGAAAGGAAATTGTTCTAACAACAGACAACATACATCATCTGAGCACAAAAGCAGCAAGGATAAACGAAAAAGAAATTCTGAATCCCGAAAGCGCACGGATGATAATCGAGATCGTCGACCAAGGTCACGTGAAGCAAGGAAAGAGACCTCAAACGTTAATAGGCATAGAAACCCAGGTCATAAAAATCGAAAGTCGTCGAAAGACAGTAGGCCAAAAAGGAGATGAATTTGCACTTAGAGCATTTTTTAGGCCGTTTAGGATCGACAATGGCTATATACACTATAGAAGGGATTGGTATAGGAAGATTGAATGTGCTACCCAACGTATTGCCTCTACTGCGCTTTTATTATATGTTCAATGCTTTAAATATGCTTTTCTTGTGTTTTTTTGTTTGTCGTGCCGTAATATACGTATAAGAAAGAAAATTTAGGTTTGATATGCTATTCAACATAAGTGTTTATATAAACAAAAGTAAAGGAAACAGATATGATTTCGGCCTTGTTTCGCCATATTTTGTCCATATCTTCAGGATTCTTAATATTCAATTTTATTATCTAATAATGAATATGAAATACAGTCATTTTCTTGCTTGCTGCTATGTTTCTTTAGCATGCATGTGAAGATAAAAGTAACAGCTTATGATTGGTTCAAGCTTGGTTTGACTATAAATTCGTTCCTTGTTAATAAATCATTCTGTCATTTAAAGTGTTCCAGGCGACAACAATATTCAGATATATAGTTCTATATCTTAATTTTTAATTAATAAAAGGTCATACTGTTGCTCATTTGTCTTATGCTAGAAAAGATATTAAATCGTAACCCTGATACGGGTAGCTAAAATGTGGTTGAATTTAATCTAATCTAAGAATTTGACAGTATAAATACTGGGTTTCATATAACCGAAGTCGCTTTTTCGTCACATTTCTAGTTACTGTGTCTGAAAACCCATTAAAATGACTGGCAAATCGCCACATTCGGGCAAAATTTGCCAATTCTCAATTCGTTGCCCCTTCAATCATAAATTATAAATTGATCAACAGATCAATCTTCAATTATGCTTAAACAAAAGCAGACAGTTTTGTGTAGACAAAACGAGATATGTATGGGAATTCTCAGTATTGACTTATAATCATTTTAATGATAGGTGGTTGATATATTGAAATGCAAGTAGTTTTTTTCTAATAGTTGTGTCTGATAGTTTCCATGGTTTGAATTTGATGATAAATAGGGTTGGTGAAAATTCCCACGATCGTGAAACACATACATCCAAGTTGAGTGAATGAAGATTTTCTAGATTTCTTTTTCGTCCAAAAAACGCCGTTCCGTTCAAACAAACATAGTCCTAGGAGTAGTGTTATATAGTTCCTTCAATTTACTTGCGAATACACCTACGTTGTCCAACTCCTGCCTAGTGCAATTTATCGGAGCTCAATAATTTTATAAAATATCGCAAGCTATCATACCGATCCGGGCGCAAAGCACAACTAGTGGTAAATAACTTCAAATAGAAGAAACGAATCACAACGTCGGAAACGCCAAAAATTAGTAAAAGATCATTTTACTTCATGTAAATAGGAGGAAAAAAATACATTTCACAAAGATGCTTTTCACAATGCATTATCGATTGGTTTGGCCAAGATGGAAGATCGGAGCCATAACCCAACGGCAGTGCAACTAGACTGAAACTAAATGAACATTAAGTTTTCAGCCATATACAAATTTCGAAAATACTACTAATTTTTTTAATTAGCATGCAAAACCGCGAAAACGATCTTATGTTCACCACCATACATGAAAACCTGTCTGAGTAAAACGCTGCTAATATTTCAATTGTAACGGTCACGATTGACTAATTGCTGATTAGCTAGTGTTGCTCAGGTCAGCAAGGAAGTCGATGCTCGGGGAAACATGCATTACGAACTGAAGTCCCACAATCCAATAGGACATAGGAAGACAAGCCGACTACTTTCATCATTATGTATATATTATGTATATTTTTATCAACAGTGATTAATCCGGCCATTTTAACATTCCATTACTAGTAAGAGTAGTTTTTTTACGATGGTAAGCATCACAACCTCTACCTATATCATCGAACTCGGTCAGAAGATATCAAACTTTGTGGTTTGCTAGACAAGCGATTTTAGAACTTTTTAGTTCCGACTGATGCACATCCCTGGGCTCATTGCTCTGCGAGACAAATGTTTACGTAACTTTACTGTTGACATCCTTTTTTGCCGTCGAAGAATGTTTGTCCGTGAGTCAAAAATATTCAGTCAAGAACATGCATCGTCTCAGCGTAGACATTCGTAGTAGACTGATAGCAACTCGAGCATGTGCTTCACAAAATATTCATTTTTAGTGCCTCTGAATCAATCTTTTTTCTACTCTTTTGCTACTTTTTTTCAGGTCGTCATCGTCTCGAGACTATTCGGATGGACAAGATTCTCATTTTATGCCTATTTACCAAAGTAGTTATGAGTATAATGTTTACCTACATGTTATCTTTGGCTCATTTCAAGTGGCATATACCTGGCGGTGACCCGAATACGTAATTTTCCGTTTACTCGTCGCTTTTTCAGATTATCACATTCCCAACTCGTTAACCTGTTATCATCACATCATCGCATTGTAATCTCGGGTATCAAGCAAGCTTGGTATACGCAAAGTAGTCTACTTCTCGGATTGCTAGGGTTCAACGTGTGTCCTGCAATGTGATCCCAGCCTGTCAAGTCTTTTAGGTGGGCTTATCGCTATTTAGTCAAATATGGATCCGCCACATTCGACAGAAATGGGAGATATGAAATCGGTCGTAAACAGAAATTTATGACACCAGGGGATCGAATTCAGGCCAGGATGTAGATTGTCGGAAATTTTTATTCCAAATTGGTATTTATTTTTTTTAAATACTTCCGTCATGTAGGTTTGATGTAACCACCAAAACAACACGAAGTTTAAAAGAAAAGCATCAGCTCACATTAATAGAGAAAAATTGGAACCGACTTGTACGAAAACCGTTTAACGAAAATTTTGGTGCACGTATGCGAAAAGGGCAAGAATTCAAATCGTTACTTTATAAGCGCACGATGACGCAAACTTGCTACATTTCAATAGACTTCAGACGAAGCAGATTTTTCATTGCAATCCAGCAGATGAATCTCTGCGGGTTGGCATTGTGTTTTCACTAATTGTATTATTAGTATTGTGAACGTGCTGCCTATGGCACCTCGCACACCATCAGAAAGAAAGTACACTTATGGAAAAAGTATTAAATAATATTTTGTCAAAAATTGGTTCTCTCAATTAAAATTTTACGAAAAACTAATTTCCAGATAAATATAAATAACTGTATCAAGCGATGACGAAAGTTTTCCCACTTCCAGAGAATTTTTCAACCTGACCCACAACGTTTGTCTACACGGGCGCGCGTGAGTTAAAATCAAAGCTATCAGAAATGTAGCAATATTCCGATATAGAATCGGATTCGAAGAGCAGAAACTACTATCAGTCAGTTTAGAAAACATCGCAAGAAGAGGAAAGCCGACAAGTCGTCTCAATTACATGCTTGTCATCAGTTCGAGCAAGAGATAGCTAACTAAATAATTTTCCCATGAATGAGGAAGAGGAAAAAACTGAGACCGAACGGAGTTTGAATAGCAAAAACGAGAATCTACTGAAGTTAAATCTGGAGGTTATGCGCAACAAAATCGAAAAACGTAGTAAGATCGAATTCCATACAAATCAATCATTAGTTTATTTTTCATCATATTTAAATGACCTATAAAATGTTAACATGCTACCACTAAAAGCATTTCAGGACGAGGAGAAACTCGAATAACCATAACGACACCGCTAGGGAAGCTTAACAGTAATGGACATACTGTAGTTGTATAAAAAGAAATCATTATCTTGGCTTACGAACTGATTTCATTTATTTATCCAAAAACCTCAACGTTGTTGCTATGTTGATATATTCTTGGAAGATCTAAATATAAATAAATAACAATGGTCTGTTTGATATTAATATATTAACCGTAATCTGATATAGACACATAAATATTAAGAACTGACATCAGTTAACAGGTGATTATGAGTACCATATTATTGAGAAATAATTCTGAACACTCTCTGCCTTTTGAAATTCAGGCTATCATTTACAGAAAAAGCGTTATCTAATGCCAAATGAAGCTTGGCCATAAGAGATGTCTATGGTTCCATCATAGGGGAATTCGCGTCGAAATCAAATTATTTTATGTTCTAACTAAAAGTTAGAACCATAAAGATCTAGAGTTTAAATCTCAGAATAACAAAAGAGTACTGCTTAGGCCAGCGATGTGCAACCTCTATTACAGGAGGGCCAGATACAAGTAACTGGGTAAAGCCGCGGGTCGCACCTAGAAACTCTACCTACGAATGGCTCTGGATACGGAAAATCCAACTTACAAAAATTCTTTTCGTAAAAATATTGCTTCGGCTAACGTAAGATTTTCTACATACAAAACGCCAAAATCCGAAAACTTAACAATCTTACAGGCGCTTGAGTTAGGGATTTCCAATTCGATTTCAATATTAATATTGAGGCCTTCGAAAATCGTTCTTCATGTTTAGGCGAATACCGAATATGTCGCATATACCCTAGCACCGCCTTCCACGTTTTGATTTAAGACATTTTACAATTATTTTATTTTTTAGTCGTAATCGAAGGCAGTCGTGTGCGCACTCTCGCTGCTGTCAACTCTTGCCGCGTCGTCCGACCGTTGCCCTCCCACTCTCCGCGGTCTTCATTTAGCCTAGTGTAGTCAGCCAACGCTAAAGGTAAACAAACATACCTTTCGTAGTTTTTATTCATTCGGTATTTTTCTGTTCTTTCTTCTTTCCGTGTGTATCTTTTCTATTTATTATGCTGAAATCTAATCCTAACATGTATTTGTTACAGGTTTTGACCCGCGGGCAGCAGTTTTCACACCCCTGGCTTAGGCGATTCTTGTCAGTAAAACACCTAATTAAAGCAGCAACGCACAACTTCTATTTCAAGCTACTTGAATATGTGTTGTTTCCTCTCGGACGCTACATTCAATGTTCAAAACTGCACATACCCGGACGTATGACAACTATAGTCCATGTAGTATATTGATCGATAACAAAATAAATTTCATGAAATAAAGGCAAAATGCTTCCTGTAACATCTGATTGAAACAACCTACAATTTCTCAAATGTAGTTGAATACTTTGCAATAATAAGAAGTTCCACACTGTACGCCGATATTGTTGATTCACGAGTTTGTAGTGTATGCATCACAAGTTTTTGAGAAATGTTGTTTGTAGTGTTTCGTTCCGCTGTTATATTTTGCATAATGCAATTAATTAACTTCTAATATTTGCTACTTTGTAATTTTCAAAATAAAATAAAAGTCGTTGAGTTTGCGAGCTTGAAATTCCTGATTTAGGAGTCATTCGGAACACAATTAGAGCGGTAACGTTGCCCATCGAGCACGGAATAGATGCGTGTAGGTGACAAACCTTTCCGCCAGGGCATGAACATGTAGTTTAGAGAAATATTTAATGTGATATCTGAGCGCAATCGAAAGAATATCAATTTATTGGGATGCAATTCTGGAAAAATCAAAAATGCTTTAGGAATCCAGGTTGCTACGTGGGATAAATCATGCAAAACTTCCCCGTCTACATTACAGGAATTTTTACAGTCACTTACCCTAGGTTACACAACCAACATACATTATATTAATATTTCTGCATTAACGGTAATTTATGTGAATATTGGACAAACAAATAGGTCTGAGGAAGAGTGATCTAGGCATGGGACATTTATTTGGTTTTAAAATTTGAAATGTGTAAAATTGTACTTGGATAACGTTTTATACCACCAGCGCATTACATTTCGTGGTGGCATAGAAAATCCGCATGCCCTGCGATTTTAGGTTCTCGTTGACGCCAACCTGCGTTTCTTACCAGCTATGACGCACATACATACCAAACCAAAAATTTTTAAGTTAACAATGCCTGAAATCAATGTCTCGACATTATCGAATCGCTGCATAAAACTTTAATACATTTGAGAATTGTAATTTAAAAGTTTTAAAATCTTTAAGAACTGTAATAAAAACAAACGATGTACGACTTATAGCTATCGCGCGCACAGAACTTTTTTATACTGTTTTGAATTAACTTGGAATAGACGCACCCTCTTTTTGAACCGCATCAAGTCTCATAAACAGATGATTTATATGTTTTCAACCGGCTTTTTTTACAAAAGCAGATAAGCTAATACAATTATCTACAACGTCCACAAACATAGGTTGGATGATGGTTGAGTGTAAAATTTCTCAAATCATATAAGATAGTATGTGCTGGTTTTTTATTGGATATAAATGCGGCAAAGTAATACTCTTGTATACTTTATTTAATTGCATAATATTTGTGTTTGGTTCGTGAAGCCAGACCAACGTTACGACCAGTTAAATATGACTAAAAGTACAATAGAAATGATTGTTGGGTATATTTCGTTTATCACTCCGTAGCATTTTACAATATATACAGTAAAGAAAGATATCATTATATCTTTGAATATATAAAGAAATGTTTTGATTTAATCAAAAACAAATCCATCAAAAGCAGAGGGGAAATTCCAATGCATGCAATCATCAGTAGATGTAGAGTAGACGAATATTATGAACGGACTTATGGGGGTATTCCATATCCATACAATCAGAAGGAAACAACCATGAAAAATGGCGGATATGGTGAAGCGATGTGAAACACACCAATACCAGTGGACTTCCATACCGTTATAATCATCTGGAATTTTCTATGAAAGTTTTTCTTATTTTCTCTCCTTTTTTGCTTTTGTGGAAATGAATGTTATATATTTTCCAAGCCATGGAATTTGGTGTTGTGACCTTGACGCGACAGAAGTTAATTTTCAAGTTGCAATTAGAAAACCACAATTTGACATATGATTGACGTAAGAAGATGATGAACACTCGCCACAACGACCGTGAATGATCGGAAAATGAATTATTCCAAAGTAATGGCACCAAAAATGATTGACTTCCCCAAAAAACTGTGAGAACTTCATCTAGGATTCACCTTATTGTTTGAGAAACTTGAATATCACACGGATTTTCCCTCTGGCTGTATAATCTCATTGTATTTCAAGGTAATTATCTGTAGCATCATTTCCGAACTTTAATTCAATATGAGTTGGCATTTTAGATTAATTTTTGTTAGGGCGAAATCGCAAACGTATACAAAAATTACATCTCCCTCAAGACTGTTTCTACGATACAAAAATAATAATTTTGTTGTTCACATTTTTTTTTTTTTTTTGGAATTAGTATTTTACAACTACAGTCGGTACTTTTCTACTACAGCCAGATCCCCAAATGTATATGCATACACAAACTCATGACAAAATGGAATCGATTTTTCCATTCGGACGCTGTAATTAAACTACCATACGATAACCTATTGCAGAATACTGACATATTTAGAATAATACACTGCATTAAAATGTTTCAAATTATCTTGTAATTGATGCAAATGTGCCTCCTAAAACAATTTATAAAAGGAAAATGTTCCAGGTTGGCGTTTTTGAACAACCATTGTTCCACAGATGCTATCCCTCGTGACAGCCATCTAGCGATCAGAAATATACGCTACAATACGTGTTTATCGATTCGACCAAACATTTTGGGTCATATTTGTCTCGTGGGAAAATGTCCCCATGAGCTTCAGTTCTGTCAATACATCGATAAGAAAAATCGATGGGCACCTGATTGTTTGTGGTGTGAATTTCATTAAATACATAACGAGTTTCTTGTAAACTCCCGTGAAATTGATTCGACAAACAAAAGAAAAACGCACAAGTTCGAATTTCGATTCAAAAAGTATTCAAACATGGTCATGTGTGTACATCACATTACATGGCATTATCAATCGTCGAACTCCAAAAATTTTTTTTAATACTGAAAACACGAAATGTCAAACCATACAATATAAAAAATAGATAAATACTCATGTTTAAGTATATTGAGATAGACATACGAGTCTCATATAAATATTCTAAATAAAAACAAGCTTGAGTGTACGTAATTGAAACTGTTTTGATGATGCTGACATGACTCAAAGTCTCGTTTTCAATCAAATTTCGGGACGTCTTTTGAATATATTTGGTGGATGAATCATCGTATGCAACATACGTCCCTCGTTCCGTCTGCTGTCTGTTTGGAGTGTGAGAAAGATCATTGCATAAGATGAAGATGTAACTGAATTGAATTGAAAATTGAGGTTTTTTTTCGCAAATTTTATGCTTGAATATAAATTAGACGTATACATATTAAAATTCCTTCATTTAGCTACAAAATATTCATGATGAAATTTGGTCGGTTCGGGATACTTTGACAGCAAAACGTGTCACTCTATGGCGACATTCGCAAACAAAATCAAATACTACTTAAAAAACAGTTAATAATAGTTTGTGAAGAAGGTTTCAACCAGCCTTCAATTTTCTCTACAAATCGGAAGTAAGTTATATACTTTTATAAACATAAAGAATCATGTTAATAGCGCAGTCACAATGGCCTTGAGGTTAACGCAAGAATCAAAACGTGAATGATGGTTTACGTAATCAAACATACCTGCTCAAATTTTTCAATAGTATTCATAAAAAACTTTTCTGGGCGTGTCAAATCCAATATAAAGTTGTGGCAAACAGTTGCTGCGAAGTCGAACTTTGCTTGTGAATTTCTCAACTAAGAATTGTTCAATCACATTATAATAACTCTAGTTCTTTCCTTCCATTCATTGTTATATTTACGGAAGTAAAGGATTGTTTGCTGAATACGTTATGCCGGCAACCGCTCTAATCCACTTGCTAAGCGCTTTCACGCACAATCAACATTATCGATTGTATTTTACCGTAATCAAGGGAAAATCGATCGGTCACTTGGACACACTTTCTTTTGGGCTTGCTAGGTCCTGTGGGAAAAATCTTAAAGAAAGTATAATCCGCGACTGAGATTAAGGTGTATTATTACGGACTGCTTATATCAAAGGAGCATGGCCAATAATGCACATTAAGCAGTGGTTTAGAAAATTCTGACATTTCTGGAGACTAAAAAATAGAATTACCCGGAGGAGTTGTCGAATAGGTAATTTGGACCATAATCATTATTATTCATTACAAATTGAATTATGAAAATATACATATATATAATGCTGTTTGGAACCATATATACATCCCTACTTCTAACTTCTTTGTTTGTTTTATAAATTGTTGAACACTTTCGTCTCAACCTGGGATCTAAACAAGTGAACACGGATACGTTTGAGATACTATCATTTCAAAAAGGTCGGATTATTTTCTGGGCGGCCTTATTTTTTATATATTCTTTGGCAACATCTTTATTTTAGTTGATAATCAAGGTTGAAACACTATCAATCAGTTTTCTGTGTTGTCCTGATCCATCCCCTCATACATACTTAACGTGTTGTTTGTATACTTATAACAGGATATCCCAATGTGCAGTGGACAATTGGTGTCACTTTACAGAGATAATCTGCGGTTTATCTACCCTCGTGCATTAAAAAAGAGTAAGAAGTTCTATAATTCTTAAACTATAACATCCGACGTAGAAGCGCGTGTTGTCATAAATGTTTTATAATAACCCGGAAAATGCTTTTTGTCGCCATCGTTTTGTAATACCAACAGACACTGTTAAAAAAACGAAATTATTCATATGATACATACAGGCAATATAAAGCATTGCAATATAGTCTAATCATCCATCGTCATCTATTAAATACATATAAAAACATATTTTATTGTACCCCCTTGCATGATCTGTCGTGGATTATGGCGCATATATATACGCAGGTTATTGTGCTGTTATGTTGTTTTATATCATGTTTAACCAGCACATATACTGAATTTTTAATCAGTTTAGATCATAAGAGTTTTCTGCAGATGCCTCACGCAATTACCTGGATATTAAAAGTTCCAGGAAATGCTAAGTGCGGTCACGACCGAATAGGAAACTCTTGACACCAAATACTGCGATAATGTCGACTCGTTTCCCCAGACCTGTGGTTACCTCTACAAAGCCGCTTATTCAGAGGGAATACCCGCTACAATTGCGGTTTTATTTTCCAAAATGTCATTGTCTTTATTTTTCTTGCATGACAGACAGTTGGAATACATTTCTTTTGTCCACTCAATGTCTTCATTCCGAAGGAGCGGACTAATCTATCTGTAATAACGTTATTTTAATTGGGAATAAAAACCTAAAAAATATAATCTCTTGCAATGATAGGCTTCTGTTACGTGTTATGTTGATTCGGTTGCATATTACTTAGTAAGACAATCGTAAAAATACTACGGCTCAAATGTTTCAATCAAAAATGATAAACATTTATTGCGCAGTTTCTCCAAGTTAGTTAGTTTTCACTATTTTATTGGTATTGTTAGTATACCCAATGTACAAACTATATAATAACAAAGAGGTCACTCAATTGGAATCGCTGCAACGCAGGCGATTTACGTACGGTCGACTACCCAACGTGGTAAAGCATATGGCGTTGCTCTTGAAAGAGTAGAGATTGACCGACTGCACATATGGCGACGTTTTATCGCAGTTGACGTTGAGGTACGTTCAAAAATGGCGATGCTTTTTTTGTCCTTCAAGTTCGCAAAGAAATAAGTTTCATCTTGAAGCATCATTTGGTTTAGTTGAGCTAGGGATTTTCACACATCCCACGCCGAAGCCATTTTTATTCAATAGGAAAAGTATTCAAGTGTCAGTGACAGAGAAATTTTACACCGAAGCAGGAGATCAGATGATAGCTCTCCTAGGCAGTCAATGGAAGAACACCGGCTATTTACAACTGATATGTGAGACAAAAAGCGTGTGAGACTACATTATAATTCTTTGAAGTTGAGAATTCATAAATATTTTAGGCAACATTTCCTAAATTTGTACCGATGTTTTGTCTTTAATTTTGCGCGTGTTGGAAATCTAGAGAAGTATATCCTTCTTGTTTGGATAATATAGCAGGAGATTATAACGTGGAGTAAGGTGCGAAAGCATTGTAAATGGGATAGAAAAAAAAATAGTAAGATATAACCAAGAGTAAGTAGTTACATGCACGAGATGCATTCAATATATTGTTGCACAAAGTCTAGTAAAGAACAATAAAATAGATGACATTATATATATATTGGTCACCAACGTTACAGCACCAACGTCAAGCTTAGAATTCAAGCTAAGTCTAATGCACTGTAGAAAAAGAGTAGGATACAAATTCAAGTGTATTTGTTGTTTATTTAAACTTGACGCATTATTAGTAAAGCAAAACATTAAGCCCAGACCGATAAATATTATATCATGCTGTGTTTAAGCTGTTGTTTTACAAACGTTAGATCGACCGCTTGCCGTGTATTCTAATAGCCCGCGGCGGGGGATTTTCTATTTAGTCGTCCGATCCGTGGTTAATTAAATTTCGGGCAGAAAAACATCGACCTTGCTATTGTTTCCTGACAGTTAAGGTGTAAAGTCAAAGCTAATGTATCTTAAATGCTTGTTATATCGAACGAAATGCTTTTATGGCTGATGCTAAAGTAACATTCTGAACGGACAAGGACATATTTTTTCTATAGTTCAATACGATGTTCACTATTTACGACTCCAAAAGATTCATATTTAGCTGCTATATTATTTGCCTATAATTATGTGACATGTTTGACCAATCTTTTGTCGATGGCTTCGAATTTTTAATAAATTTAAATGTTACTTCATCGGATTGTATAAGAATAAAAAGCTGGCAAATTACTCCTATGTGAAATTAGTACGAAAACATGTCCATTTTTATGATAATTAGGAGTTTACACTAATGCCATATATTTTAATTGGTAGTATACAGCCTGTTACCAGTATCAAGACAGGCTCGATTTTTCACAATTTGAGAAAGTAGGACGAGGTCCGACTACACGCTTCACCTGTTGTACATACGTAACTGAAAATTGACAATATGACACAATGACACCCAAATTGTCCAAGCTTCGATAAAAAACTAATATACTTTCAAAAGATCGCCTATTTACATTTATTTATAAATATTGAGACCTAATTATAAGGCTTTGTCGATTATATTGCGTAGAAGTTCTTAATAGTATATATAGCATTACTACATATATATATATTATTTATTATAGTTTTGTAACATGTGAAACAATTCTGTCCCATACCACATGTTTGAAAAGTTACTTTTACATCTTAACACTTACAAGAGATTTGATTTAATCCTGTTGCAACACAAAAACTCTTATTCGAGGATTATCTCATAATCTTTCAATTGTAAAAAAACATTATAGTTTTAATTCTCTTCATATTTTATTTTAATCGATAAATTTTTCGGTCTGACACTACATTGTTCATCAGTTGATTTTACTTTCAACTGGGAATGACTGCAAAGTTATATGTTCCAAGCAAAATTCAATATTGGAATTATTCAAACATAAGAATATCATACATAATTCGTTTATTACTTAAAAATACGTTTGTTTTCATCAAAGCGTGGTGTTTAGGGATGTGAGGTTTAGAATTATTTGATATTAGATAAATCACTTCTTCTACCTAATATTAAATATTCTTAATTGCACAAAATGTGGTCAAATCATCAGATATGTCATAATATTTAGACAAATAAAATAACTTTATTTAAATCCTTTTCAATTATTAAGTTTTGAACTAGTAGTTTTTTTAAAAAAAAAAGTGCGGATTAAACTAAATTCTAACGGCATTCTTAATTAGATTAGCAACAAATTGGCATATCTTTGTCACAATGCGATCCGTTAAGTGAAAGTTAAAAATATTTCCATCTAAAAGTCAAAACTGAAACCGAAAATATATTATTTGCTAGGATTTAAAATAAGCCAAAGTTGCCACAAATAAAAATCGGTTTTAATTAGATTACTGCGGCGTATCAGTCGCTAAGAATATATGACGAGTTTGACCCGCTTGCCCCAAACGGATATTACTGTTAAAAACTTTGTGGGTTTTCATGCAAGTCTTGATCGTGTTTTCTAGCTATCACAGTTTTTGTGGCAAATTATCAAAATTATATCGCATTGGTAGCGACAAAAAGTCTCTGGGGATAATACTAAAATAATGAAATTGAAATTTATTGGATAAAACATGTAGCAAACTGACAAAATTGTACAAAATATGATTATATCAGCATAGGTGATAGTAAATAACTTTATGTGACATAACTGAAGATTTTTTTATATACGTCTGCTCATAGTGATAAATTCTACAGGGAAGTTGAGAACAATCCTCAATGTGGAAAATGAATCACAATGTAAATGAGTATTCGTTCAAAATGATTTTATTGAACTTGCGATATTCCGGGGTAGTGGTATATAAATTGTATTGTTATTTATGAGTTTTGAAATTATTTAGATAAAGATTTGGTATCAGTTAACTTTGGAGCAAATCTTTCTTTAAAACTGCATCGTAAGTAAACAATGTAAAACAATAGTTTGTATCAAGATTGACATACTTTGATGATTTTTATTGTTTCCAACGATTCGACGCAAGTGATTTATCTTTCTCCGGGATTTTATTCGTCTATAGTCAACGGTTTGATCCGTGTTAGTTTATTACGGCGTTAACAGCATTGCAGAGTAAAATATATATAATTGTTCGGATTCCATAAAGCCAAAAATGGATGGGGTTTCTCTAATAACTTTTCTTATGGCAAACGAAACCTTCGAAATGAATCAATATTCTGAACAATAAATTACATGAATTGTGATAAAATATGTAGGATACGACCTTTTATATACTCCTTCCAGTTCAGATCACGTCAGACGGGGGGCTAGATGGAAGTTTTTCGTCATCTTGGTTGAATCCTAATGCAGCATTTTTCTATTTGACACCGAATCATTTTCAATCTCGCGTCGCCGCAGCGAACGTCTGATTGAACAGTGACTGTAATCGATACCTGGGACAAAAAAGTCGCGACAAAAATGAATTTTTTGCTTCTGAAATTCCCTCAGATCGTCTATTCGGATTCGCCAGCCATGTTTCTTGTCATTGGCTTTGTGTACTTGTCGTGTCTTCGTTGTTGGAATACGTGTTAAGTGCATATACGTGTAGGTGCCAATGTCGATGGGTATTTATATAGCAATAGAGGAAGCTCAACCAAGGCGAGGTAAATTTTGTCGATGACTAGTTGATAACATGTTAGTTAATGGTATGGCATATAAACAGACGAATTAAATGGCTGGCGTTAATAGAACACAGCCAACGCTAAAGAATTCGTATACACAATTCGCGGTCAAGGTACACTCCGATACTCTACAACTCACACATAAAAAACATAAATCTTTTTTCATTGATAACAATTATCATCCGTTCAAATACGGGAATAGTTTTCTTAAATTTGATAAATAGCTTGCAATATATATTCTCTGATACTTGAAAACAAGTTTTTTTATCTGCTTTTAAAGCATGTAATCTCGGTTATATACATATAATCCTGAATTTTATGACTGTATTCTCTGTAACCATTGCTGGCTACTGAAAATTAGGAAATCAGCGATAGGCACAGGGAGTCGGGTAGGTAGTCAAGCAAACACTATATAGACATATAAATGAATAATAATTAAAATGGGACAAGACTGTAATATAGAACAGAATAAACTTTGTAGGCAAGGGTATAATGTCAAGTTTTCAATATCCAAATATTTGCAAAGAGAGCAGTCGAGGGGGCAATAAAGACAGATGAATCTAGATGAATGACAATTGAATGTTCTGCTATCGTTAAAGTATATCCAATTCGTATATAGTATACCTGATTTTCAAAATGGCTATGAAGTACCGGTATCTTAACTTTTCGATATGCTTTTTAATAAAGTCATTAACAGCGCTACATTATATAAATGGTAATCAGATACAATTTCAATTACAATACTGTATTACACAAATTCTCTAATCGTAATTATGCATGCAAATTAGCAAATAAGCGTTGCCGTATTTCGCGCGACAGATAAAATTTATCTTCACCATTCTCGAGTTCCGACCAAAAGTTCAATTCTTTGCAAAAACTAAAATCTATTGTCGAAATCCTTGGATTAGTGACCGCAAACCGTAATATGATCATGGTTGTCTCTCGTGGACTTTCAAGTCAAAGTTTATCGCTTGTTTCGCATCTTAATGTAAACACATATCAAAAGAAACTTTCGAAGTAATTTCCCAAATGCAAGACAGACTCGTATCTAACTGTAATCAGAGACCAAAGGCCAGCGACGGGTGACAATACATGAATACTAAAAAATCTAGCAATGTTGTATTTTCTTCTAGTTTGAAATTATTTGTTCAATTGGATATATAGTAGTATGATCCACATTTTGCACACGCCATCAGGGCACTCACTACTCATGTTTAGATCTTGTTGAAGAAACCTTCGATAATTATCCTGTGATAGTATTTCATTCCCTAAACCATTGGAAAAATAAGCTTTGGCTAAAATTGTATTAATATTGATTCTAAAATATTATCATTATATGACAACTCGATGGGATCACATTTGTTTCAATATATCACGAACCTGATGGAATATAATAAAAATAAAATAAGAAGAACAGCTATGACAAAAAATTGAAGCTTCGGGAGTATTTTACGTGCGAAAGTGTGTTCATGAACAGAGATAGTTAGTTACTCTATAATCCGTGTCTTTGGTCCCAACCAATGTTTAATTTGACTCCGCCTGACCATTTACTGGGGGTTTCATGTACACCAGGGCTTCAGACAGTCATAGCTACCGTCAGTCATGACTCAAGGCGTTGAATTTAAGATTATCGAATTTAAAATTATAAAATTTTTTTTATTCATTTAGCATTGATAATAATAATGATTTAGTAGTTAGAGTTAGTCAAATGTATGTTTTGTGCAGTTCATGCAGCGTGTGACACGGCTAATCTTCTCTAACAAATTTGCCCTGCTACAGTGCTGTCACTTGAAAAGTGAAACAACGATTTCTCAACTAACTGTTTGTTTAAATGGATATATTTTAAATTCAATAAGAAGATATCTCGTAACAGGTAGTAAGTAAGTCGTCGGACTATTCGACCACTGTCGAAATACAGAATTAAATATTTGAAACGAGCGAATATTCTGAAGCACAGGAGAGCGAAACATATCCTTGACGGGTACCGACGGGAACAGCGACTCAAAAATCAAAATGGCGTCATCTGCAGACGAGAATGGCGAGAATACTCGTTCGATTTACAATGGACTATCTTACGGCGACATGTCGTCTGTTTTTTCGGGCATTGTCGACGATGATGATGGCGATCGAGAAGTATTTGAAGACGACATAACAGTTGATGATGAAGGCGACGAAATTGACGACCAGGACGATGTTATAGCAGGATCATTTGGAACAAGAAATGAACAAATGCGTGATTCAATCTCAGAAATGTCATTTGCATCCCCGCCCGACTCGGGCGACAATATGCATTTTTCGGAGACTTTTCATTCCACCAATCAACTGTTTTCCGAGTATGCAAAACACGAAGATTCAAAATTCGATCTGCCGTCAGGGTTCGTTACATCAACTCCAATGCGCCATTCTAATGATTTTGATAAACTAAACAAATCATTGTCTACATCAGCAGAACCTACCACCGTTACGTCTACTGATTCGCAAGCCTCATCACTGAAGCCCAACAAAACATCAATGTTCAACAATTCTTATGATACATTCTATTCGCTACTTGCCAAAGACAAAAAACTGGAAGGTATGTAAATATTCAATTAATATTTATATAAATTAGTCAAGAGCCTTGCTACACATCACCACATGCATTTGAGCTAGTAAGTAGGTTTGCGTTGGTGTGCAACAAGACTCTTGAATCATTTAGAACAGTTATCGTTGCTATCGGTAAAGTATCCTTGCATCATACACATATGGAAAGACTAGCGTAAAAACGTGGAGGGGTGGATAGTTGGCCTATCATAATTGCAACTGATCGCTATGCGATTCACTCACACCTTGACTTGAGAAAGGAATAAGGCCAGGAATGGTCACCACTGACTAACACATGTGAACTTCTATAGTAGTTCCTTTATACCGATATGCAGCTACTGAGAATGAAGCTCCTTCGAATTTTATTGTAGCGGTTTCTTCCAGAGGTCCATATACCTCAAGGGGCCAAACTACGTTTTTAGTAATACGCTTGAAAAAATGTGACATACAAAAGGGTAAACTTTCGGTAACGTTGCAATTATAACCAGGATAAGTATAGGATGTAAAGTGTAGGCTTTTTTTTTATTCGTGACAAAAATATGTGTAACGCATTCAGAAAAAAGGTTCGCCATCCCTGCCCTAGGCTAACGTAATAGAGTCTCTGGGTCAATGGGCCATTTTATCAGCCATGCGATGCACGAACCTACGGATTTGTATCTTTTGTGATTATTATTCGAATATACCAAGGTGTAAGTCACAAAAACAGCGGGCATTATTGTTCGAAACGTGAGTTGATTGCCGGATGATCGGCTGTAATCGTTCGATGCATGCGTGATTTTATTTTCAAGTCTGATGAGCCGAGTATAACTCATTTGTCCAGTATCCTGTATAAAATATCAAATATATAACGAAAATAAAACGGCAGCTATTAATACGTTATACAATAGCACATGTAGCCTCCACTGCGCAACCTGTGTGATATTCTGCTAGCTTACAATTAATTGTGTACTGCCAGAATTCATTACAAACTTTTAATGTCCTTTAGGAATTTAGCAGTTTCCAAAACCGAGTACAGCTTAGCTCAAATATTTAGGAGAGTTGTTATATTTTGTCTCAGTTTAAATAAAATTAGATGTTAGGTATGTTCAATATTTGCATGACAGTTTAAAATTGAAGCATTTAAATGCTTTTAATTTTTTAAATTCCAAAATAAATTTAATTTATTTCAATACTTTCGTTCTTCAATTTCCTATAATTTATTCGCTTTCATTATTTATTTAAAACTCAATTGTAAGATAATTTACAAAAATGCAGATGATGCAAATATTTGCAAAATTTATCAACTCCCTCAATAAACTGAATAAAATCGATATCAAGAACCGTACTGTGACTGTGACTTACTCATAGCTTCCTTCATCATGATCATTCATCTGGTATAATTGACTGGTTAACTAATAATCATATGGCCAACTCGCACTGATCGTCGGACGAGAGGAGTGATTCGCCATGTACTTAAACCGACTCAATCCCTTTCCTCTCTCTAGTAATCTGTGAATATTATTCGTTCTTACGTGAAAATATTCAAATATAAGACTGCAATAAGCAACCCAGCCGCAAGTGGTTTTTAAACATCCAAAAACAAGTTTTTGAGTTTCACGTTTTTGAAATTCTCATTCATTTGAAACATTACAGAAATTCTTTTACCTTTAAGACTACCTATATCCCCACCAACGCGTAAACATTGCTTTTGACACCAAGGTTTTGATTTGAAACAAATTCTTGAGCTTTCCCATCACAAAATCGCTATGAAATCACAAATGTTTTGACCTTCCTCATTTATATCTGCCTGAAAATAACTACTCACACATATCTTCCTGTATAGTAAGTATTTATATTATCCATTTACTTATATGATGCTCGCTATAGAAAGTCTTATGCCAACTAATTTGGACCTTCCTGAATTTACTTTGCATCGGACACGAGCTAATCGCGTTAGTAATTGCTCAACGATTATTGGTTCCGAAAAATTCGTTTCAATTTTCCTAATTGTTCTTTTAATTGAGTTAAGTTCCCCAATTCCATTTGAACGAAAGAACTTGTCCTAAAACCCAATACAATTCGATTTTATCGGATTTCAAGTACATCATTTATGTTGGAGACATAAAATGAATTCATTGCCTAAACAGCTGAAAATTACGTATGCACTCCGGTGGTTTTTCTATCACAGGCTAAATAATGTTTACAATCAAGGATGATTTGCGGATGTATTATATATATGCATGGTTACCTCAGTATAAAAAGTTGTTTAAATATAGGTCTGTTTTACAAGATCCTATTAATAGTGCGGTTTAGTTGAAATAATTTCAAGCACTGCACTGACATCTGACAAGCAAATCATTTCTGATTTAATGTACATCGACTTTCTTGAGAGCGCAGCTTTTTCGGTTGGGATTATGCTTTAAAACCATAAAGGAGTTTACAGTTTCAACTTTAAATAAATATCTATCCAAACGATTTGGCTTTTCAAAATTTACATTTTTCAATTAAAAATAGTACTTAACGATTTATTCACTGACTTATATCAAATATTAATAACGCTCTTAATTGCTGACTCCAGGGCGAAATTTATTATGACGTCGTATATCAATACATTGTTGCGGATTCCGATTTCGGGGTAAGCAGCAGAACAAAGAATGAAGTCACCAAAAGAAAGATTCAAAAATAGGGAAAATATAAAAACAAAAATGCGGATTGAATTGCTAAAGTTATATGACTGAATCCATAAGGAATATACATGAATCCCGGAAGTTCTCAGTTCAATTTATGTTTTTCAAGTGAATATCATATTAAAATGCAAGATCGCCATCATATAGGAGACAGTTACATCTTTTCCTGATTGCGTTAAACGTTTGCTCAAATTGTTACATATATTCGTTTCAATCTCAATAGTTAGGAAAATAGATATCTACACGGCCATAATCATCATCTAAATTCTAAATGACCTCCTCCGTAAAAAGCTGATGGTATGAAATATAAGGTTCTGTCAATGAAGGTCGATGTTATGTAAAGCCTCGTTTTTACGAAATGTTTCTGGTGTCTCATTGAACCAATAAGTATACTTTTCATATGATATTTTATTTTCATGATATAGTTTTAACATTGTCATTAAACAGTTATATTTATGTTGTGTCGCAAACTGCAAATCACGTTTTAATTTTGAGTCTAAACAATGAAATTTTTTCAACAGTACTGTCTATTTTTAATCTGTGGATTATAATCCGTGATTAAAACAATGAAAATACGAACGTTTTATACAATACATGAATAATAAACGAAATGAATTACGAAACAAATAAATAATGTTAGCTCGCCGCCGTAAAGTGCATTTGAAGTGCAGATAAGCTTGCGTTTTTGCAACAACAATTACAGCAACCTAACCTAATTTCGGCGTATTAAACTGTGCAATAAATTCCAATAAAATAACCGCGGCGGGTCGAGCGAGCCACAACTCTTTTCGTTTGAATTATTAATTTAGAATCGTTCAAATATTTGTCTCAATGAAGGTCGACGGGACCCGTATAAAGAGATAAAATGCATCAAATAACCCAACGAGCTTTGACGTGTCTAACGACGGGCCATTTTGTAGACGCGCGTGGTTATCTCGGCTTCATCAGAATCCAAAATGATTCATAAAATAAAGCTGGAAATTGTTTAATTGCTGCAAAGTGGTTTTATGCTGTTACCGGTGATTCATATACAAACCATTGTTATAATTATAATGCTCATTGCACATATGTCGATGACAAATGTGCTATCAATCTTGTAAGAATGACAAGAATGACACGTTTTTATAAATAAATATACATGGTGATTTTGCACTTCGTACATTGAGTGAACTTTCCAATTGCAAGTTCTCAGCCTGCTGAGTAACTTTCCCACGCATCTTTCATGTAACTTCGTTATTCGTTTTCAAAAATATGATTTGAAAATTTTTCCAATATATTTTTCTGCAAAATTGGTCTATAAGAGCTATTGTTGATTTTCAATCACCTTGACATTTATGTGACTTTGGACGTTAATATTCCATCATAAATTCACTGCACGAGAATACGTATCAAGGGTGTAGCATTTATTCATATATTGATTTATAGATGTATTTCTAATATTAAAAAATAAAGTCTCTACAGAAAGAATACTATTCAAGACTGTATAAATTTTTATTTTGGTAAAAAGTTCTCGATTTGTGTTCACAGCAAATAAATGATTTTTTATGCAATGACATAGTACGACGGGAGAGGTAGGGCTCGGACGGTATCATGAGAGGAGTGGAAAATAATATAAGTAGGGTTTGTTTGTAAACTAGTCTAGATAACGAAACTCAGTGAAGTATCTCAATGCCCTCTTATATCGAATAGATGTGACATAAATCGTTTAGTGCTTCGCGTCTCTCTTCTGTTTTTTGGATTTCCGCATTTTTCCGTTTTGTACTGTGTGGTCGACATATGCCAGCGCACAAAATTCACATTTGCAATGTAGGTCGTGACTCCTCCCCTCCTCTAAAAATGGAACAGCAGCAATTACGCACTTCAAACTGATAGACAGCAAGAGCAGATAAGATCGGCACATAAATTGTTTTCAGTAGCGCATCCGATCGTGATACTTTCCTTGACAGTGCGGCTCAAATTGACGAAGGGGTGGAAAGATGTCTATTTAGTGTTGAATTATGATCAGGAGATACTTTTTAAAAAAAAATGTAAAATGTATTTTATTACATCAGTAATTACACCATCTAGCACAATGATTTATATTGAATCCTGCCGTCAATTAAACTTTGCCAACAAACATCCTAATCACTTTACATACTTCCACCCTACTTTATCACCTTACAATAACTTCCAGGCATAATACAGTATTTGAAAAATGATATTACAATATCAACTGGAGCAAACAAGTAATTTTTACACTTTTCTCACTTAGGTCACCGGAAAATTTCCTCAATTTAATGTCACGCAATTTACCCTACAATTTCACGCCAATTTAATTCACCTCAGC